TGAACTGGTGATGTGTCAGAAGAGTTTGTGTAAGTGTGTGTAGAGTTAAAGGCTGAAACAAAATCTATGAATGTGATGGTGAGAAGGTTGACAGAGAAGAAATGGGGTTGTTGTAGTGACTGCAGCATAGGTAGTTGGATTGATGAAGTGAGGCAGTGGCCCCAAGTTACTGAGAAAGGTACCTTATATGGATGGCAATCTTAATGTTATTAAAATTTTACATACTGGTGAGATATTTGTTACAACAGTAGCCAGAACTAGAGAATCAGTCAAGAATTGCATTGAATCATCACAGACCAGTTAAAAACGTAAATACAAAATGTAGCCGACAGCATACATTTGATGACCGTGATGCTTTTGCATTAGTGCGGCATGAAGGAAAGCGAAGGAAGGTATAAGGAAAAACAGAAGAGCAACTCTTCCTCAGGTGACTGAGAATGTCATTGCAGGATGTGAAGAGACTGCGTCAGCAGGAACAGTCCATTTACACAGAGGGATATTATAATCGGGTCTGCAGTGCATGAACCGCTCATTACAAAGATGAATGCACATTTGAGAGTTAAGTGGTGCATTCATAGGCACTGGTCTACATAAATGTGGAAAAGAGAGATATGGTCAGATGAGTCATCCTTCACCATATTCTCAACAAGTGGGCAAATGCATGTATGGTGAACACAGTACAGGCCTGAATGCTTTACCCCCACAGTGAGGGGATCTGATGGCTCTGTTGTGCTTTTGGGGCCATTTTGCTGGCATGGTTTGGGTCCACTTGATCCTTTAGAGGGAAAGCTCACTACAAATTAATATAAAGTCGTTCTGAGTGATCAGCTTTAACCTATGATGAGACATTTATATCCTGATGGGACTGGTCTATTCCAGGATGACAATTCTCCTATCCATATAGGGATAGAGGGGTCACTGAGTAGATTGATGAGTATGAAAATGATGTGAATCATATGCTTTGGCCTTCACAGTTATTAGATCTCAAACCAATTAAACACCTTTTGGCAGATTTTGGACCGATGTGCTCGACAGTGCTCCACCTTGATAAATCACCTAATGGGGAAATATATATAGGAAGAATGGTGTTCATCCCTCCGTAGAGTTCCACAGACTTCAATCAATTTGACATCCTCAAATGTCTCATTTTGTCCCCAACGCAAAGGTATTCAGTTTACTGTTGGAACCAAAGAAACTAGAAAATATTCACATTTAAGAAGCTAAAATCAGAGAATTTGGACAATTATTTAAAAAAATTATTCAAAACGATTAATTGATCATCAAAATAGTGGGCAATTAATTTAATAGTTAACTGCTAAACAATTAATTGACTAATTGCTGCAGCTCTAACAAACTCCATCACCTTACTAAGACACTTTAAGTTTTTATTTTAATTTGTGCTGGTTAAACGCTTACTTCACCATGCTAACATGCTCTCAATGACAATTCTAACGTGTTGATGTTTAGCATGTATAATGTTAACCATGTTCACAATCTTAGTTTAGCATGTTAGCATGATAACTTACTAATTAGAACACAAAGAGTAGCTGAGGCCGAAGGGAATGTCATTAAAGGTATTTGTTCATAAAAACAACTTAAAGTTTTGATCTGACGATGATGGCGCTGCATAAAAAGGGATCCCCAAAGTTATTACAATTCGTCCTTGTGATGCATTTTCACAATTTCTTGAAACTTTTTTTTTTTATTTTAAAAGAAAAATGATTCATCAAACAAACAACAGAGACATTATGACCGATACCAATTATTACCTCCTGCCCTAAAATAATATGTCGTCCTGCTTTTGTCTATTTAGCAATGGGCGGAAGACAACAAATTAACCTGAACCTCTGGCAAGAAGCTGATGTTTTCACGTACAGGTTTGTTGCTTTATGAGCTGCTTATCTCTTAAACAACAGATTTCCTTGAAAGTTACTGGTCAGCCTCTGGCCAAAGAGCGATTAATTAGAGGTCGGTATCAAGTTAGATATGGGATTCCTGTCATGAATGCCTTTTTTTTTTTTTAGCCGTAACTATTAAACTAACAGAGATCACAAATATCGATTTCCAACTTTAGCTCTAGGGTTTGGGATCGATTAATTCAATTCGACCAAAGCTGTAAGTGGTAGAAATTATGTCTTTGGGGAGTTATTCAGCACTGGTGGAGGTTTGTGCCCTTCTAATGCCTTTTATTCGCCAATATTTCTAGATAAGGACTTTATCGCTGTCAAGAACGTCTTTATCTCCATCTCCCCGAGATTCATTCACAGGTCACATATATCCTGTGCTGGCTGTGTGCTTCAGGGTGCTTGTATTGAAATAAAAAAAAATGTTGATGTTGTGATATAGTACAGGCTAACAGGCAGTGCTCTCACACACACTACCTTCAGGCCACAGTCCATCTGTCATGTCTTCAAATACTCCTCCACTACAAGCAACTTGGGTCAGGTTTGCCTGCAGGGTCGGTTACTGCTGCTTCTAGTCTCAACTCCTTTTTCCTTCCAGCCTCCAAACTAACTTTTCTGTCTCAGAAATACTTCTCTCTGTCATATATATTTTCTCCCTGAACCTGCCACAATGTACTTTCTGTAAAATTCCAGCATTGGATTTCTTTCCAACCTCTTTTTCCACAATGTATCATTCTGCTCCATTACAAAGCATTAAATGAGCAAGCTCCAACCTCTCTCTTTTTCGACCTATTACAAGCATACGCCCCCGTCCAGGTCACTCAGGACGGCTGACCAGTTACTCCTTGTTCTAACAAGATTGAGGCTAAACACAGAGGAGATCGCGCCTTTGCAGCTGAAGCCTGAAGCCTGGAATGAGCTGCCTCTGCATGTTAAGCTGGCCCCCACCCTGCCTGCTTTTAAATCCAATCTTAAAACACATTTTTAACACACAATGAGTGTTACTTTTTTAAATATTATTGTTGTTTTAAATAAAGTTGGATAGGATTATGTTGTATCATTAATCATTTCATTGATTGTCTCCCTTGTTAGGGCACTTTGACCTTTGCACTATGGCTGGTGGAAATATGGTTGAATACGTTTTCTACAGTTGTACAAATCACTCCAGATTAAGGCTCCAAATTAGATTTGCTGGCAAAAATGTGACAAAATACACTGATTTCTGAAGTAACTCCAGTTCTTAAAAAGTTTCTAAACTTCACAAAAAGACAATGTCACTATTCTATCCATTTCTTTGCCATATGTGAGCTATAATAGTCCATTTTACAAGCTATAAAAATAAATATGTCATCATTTGGAGCTGCTCTTTCTTTTTCCTCCTCCTTTTTCACTTCATTTTATAAATAAACTGGGAAGCAACTAGTCCGTCTGCCCCCCTACAGGGTCAACACTGTCATGCCTCAAAGCAAACATTAAATACTAAAATAAATCATGGCATGATGATTTTCCTAATGACATTCCTTCACTGCGCTAATGTTGATGACACTTTACACTTTTAGCCAGAATTAGATGCTGTCCACACTAAAAAAAGATCATGTTAGGGCAAAGCTAAGGCAAAGGTGCCAAGTCACAACACTGTAGGTAGCAATTAACAGCATGTCTTGTTATGAGTGAGTTCTCTGTCATTAGCAGGGGCCTCAAGGTATGTCCAGATTAATAAGATGTTACTCTAACAATATGCAGACACAGAAGCTGCTCCTGTTTTTGGCTCAAAACAAGCCTTTTCTGTTCTCTATCACAAAAACGGTGATAGAGTACAGTGGACTTCAAAGGGAGAAAGATGATTTATCATTCTTCTCATTTCTCTGCAAAGATGTTCATTAGTTCTGTCTTTGAAGAGTTTTGAATCCTACTTTCCTGAATTTTAAAACTCCTCCGCTGAGTACTGCTGGGGTTTGACTTCTTATATTTTTGTTGAGTGCTGATATTGAGTCCTCTTCTAGTGAAAATACACAATGAACGCCTGTTGTTTGGAGGAACTTCATGAGCGGTCACCTCCATTAACCAAGAAGAAATCTTAATCACAGGGCCATTCATATACTATGTCTGAAAACTGCTAATGAGGGAAGAACAGCCAATATTTAGAAAATTAATCTGTTATCTTAGCTCAGCATAAAGCCTGAATACAGGTGGAAACAGCCAGGCTGGCTTTGTCCAACTGTTAAATTAACAGCTCACTAACTAACATGTTATATCTTGTTTGTTTAATGCCGTCAAAAAATGAAGAGTAAAAAGTTGTGGTTTTAGGAGGTTTTGTGCTGGACTACAGCTTTTTCCAAACTTTATGCTAAGCTAAGCGTCTCCTGTCTGTAGGTTTATATTAAATGTACATCAGGAGTAATATAGGTCTTCTAACATTTGGCTCTAAAGCGAAAAATGTCAAATTATTCCTTTAATAACAGTGCAGATCCTCAACACACACAGGGTCCTATTGCAAGAAAATGACCATCATCATATATTTGTTGATACAGTATTCATTACTCATGTTGCATAACATTATGCCCTTGACATTATCTTCCTTGTATCTGCTACTCCCAAACAATGTATGGCATTGTAAGTACCATACAGAGTCCTGATGAAAGGAAGATTTTGCATACTGAGCTATTTCTAAATTTAGTGTATCCTACTGAAGAGAGCCACTGATCAGCAGGCACTTTTGCATATACTGCAAACTCTATATTTTCATTTCCACCTGTCAACAAAGAGGCGATGCAGGCTCTTTCTGTTATAGGATGACCTCCGGTTCTCAGCATGAAAACTTGAATCTCAGGATTATTGAATGTTAAGGGTCAGTGACTTTGGTCAGGAAAATGTTGGTGTAACATTTCATCTCTTAGTCGGCCTTTATAACTTTGGAGTCACTCCGCTATCTCACTGCACAGTTTCTGACGCACTGACTTATGACATTTCCTCTGTGTTGGCAAACAGAACAGAGGTTGAAATGTGCTGCTAATTATAACTGACAGCAATGTTGTACAAGACGCCAAAGGACACATTTAAAACATAACTTATGAATAAAAGACAAAACCCCAAAACTTAAGTGATACCTGTTTATTTTAGTACCAAGTCAAGTGACACAACATAATAACTAATGTAGGATAGATGACAGGTTTCTTTAAAAGGACAGACAACTGGGTATGTCTCCAGGAAAGCGCCCGCAGTCTGTGTTTTCTGTGTTACAAGTGGTACACTCGCAGTTTCTGGCCACAGGGTAGGTGACACCCACTGGACAACCTTTAATGTGTTTCACCTCATAGGACCAGTCTCCGTTACAGATTCTCTGTTCAGGCCTCTCATAGTGGCTGAGGTAGACCAGATCCTGCCATCGAAATCAAAACACAACAGTATGTGATTAAACACATGGACATAAATGCCACTAGGTGATAAAATGATAAACCATAACAAAAAGGTCTTTTCAGGACATTTTAAGTTTTAAATAAAAAATCTTTCCAGCAGCAGATAATTGTAAACTACTGTCTTCTGCCTGCATTCACGCAGATATAGACGCAAAGCATGGTTTTAAATAGAGACAAAATTGTTGTCTAAACACTAAAACAAATGAAAGTAATCTGCTATAATCTGCAATTGACAGGTTTTTTAATAAAAGAACTAAAACTTGACCACATCATAACCTAACAGACGCTGAGAAAGGTTTGTTTACGTCATACATTTTTGTAAATACAACAGTAAACCTGGAGGCTATTTCAAGAAGCGTTTACAGAGTTCAGTAAAACATGCATGCACATTTTTTTTTGTTTTTGCTTGCTCCAGTTTCACTCAGTAAAGTTGTTCAGATTATTTATTAATCTTGTTTCATTCTCTTCTCCCCAATTTTGTTCAGTAGAGAAAGATAGAAAATGCTATACAAAAAATCAATCAATCAATACTATACAGTAACTTTAAACACTAGTGCAGTGTGAGCGGAAAAAATGCACAGGTTGGCACACAGCTCATTAGTTATTATAGAGGCAGTAGGAATCCTCGGTTACCTCGTGGTAGCACTGTCCTTCACATATGGTGGTGTAGATGACCTCGGTGAGGCCACAACTCTCCACTTGGATGCTGATGTTGGTGGGATGACAGCCGAAGCTGCAGCCCTGCCCCGCCCGCGCCAGTGCCAGCACTGCTACCATGACAACTAGCTGCATCCTCTGCTGGGTGCAGCACAGACACCTGCCACAAGAGGGGATCAGGTCTCACATCAGATGCTTCAAAACCATGTCAGAACATGGGAATGTGGATTAAAGTGAGGCACTGTGTGATCATCACTTTGTGATGCTTGTGGGTTAACAGTGGTCTTCATAAGATATATAATAGACAAGATACATTTCGAACTGTGGAAACAGAAATAGTCTTTTGGAGTGCCTCTATTAACTGAAATTAATTTCTTCACCCTCTAAACTTTCTACCAGGGCTTAGAGGGTTGGTTCATCTAAATGAACTCTGGTTCTATTTGAGACATGTCTGAGATTTCGACCCAAATACTGAGGTGAATGAAATTTTGCATATGGTACTCAAAGCTTTGAACAAAAATTACGTTTTAAAAATTCAACAACATGTCTTTTTGGAACAATATCCAACTCTGAAAGTCATAAACTTGTCTATCAAATATGATACAAATGGCGTTATAGCATTAATATGCTGTATTCACTATGTATGACTATTATTAACACAAAATTCAAATATTCTTTAACAACATCAGCAGAACAAAGGTTGATTATGAATAATGAGAATATCAGTGATCATTTAAATTATTTTATAGACCTCTTCCAATTAAATTCCTCTATGCAGAGATTTATCCTCACATATACCATTAACTATAATAGAATTATGGTTTCCGGCATATACTATACCTTTAAATTAACTTGATGTGAGAGAATCTCCCCAGGTAGTGCTGAAACTGGCTCCTTTTCGTATAAACTTGACTGTTTTATCGTTTGTTTTAACAGAAAGTCAGTGTGTGTTAAAAGTCCAAATCAGTTGTATAACTCTATATAATCTTTACAACAGAATAATTAACACATTTGCAGCAGTTTACTTACGTACTATCGATCTCTGCTGTTGCTTTGAACCTTGCTTCTTCTGTCAATCTCTAAACATCTGTAACAGCTTTCAACCTGTGACTGTCCCCTTTGTTACTTAAATAGTGAGGCTCATAAATCCTTTTAATCTATTCAACCTTGGACTCGGTGTAATTTTTCATAGCTGTTTAGACTTAAACAAACCCTCATTTCTTTCCATCAACAGTTCAGGGGTGGCCCGTGGCTCAAGGCCTTTTTTTCTTCTCCACAATATTAAAACCATCTTCAGCCCCCACAGTGGAAACACTTACACCAGCGTCAATAATTAATTTGCCATGCTCCATCTTCATTGCTTTCTATCATTTCCATGTATTAATGGCACATTGTTGTTGTATTTGCAGTGATTGTATCATTTTATCAGTGATTATATACAAATATACATACATATACACACATACACAATATACTCTATAACTTTTGTCAGCTTATTGAAAAAAAAGTTTGATTACTTATATATTTGAAGTAATCTCTGAAATGCATTTTTTTCTGAGGTAAAGGTTATCCTTACTTGTTCATGATTGGGCAAAAGTGTGTGCTAGTAGACAAACTTGAGTGAGTTTTCATGAGTAAGGATTAACTAAGAAAACATAACATTTGAAATTCCGTATTTGATTTCTCAAACCACTTAAAGACACTGTTTTTATGTAATTATGTCTTCTTTTAAATCATTAACCATGCGTTGGTTTTTGTTTGTTGAGAAATAAGACCATCCCAGTGAATATTAGTACAGTCTATGAGTCTGATTTGGAGACATCAAGACACGAGTATCAAAAAAGAAAAGCACTGCCAGACCCCTATGGGATGCCAAAGCCAAAAAAGTTTCCCACAGTGGCTTTAAGTTTCATTCAGTGCAGTACAAAACAGATATATCAACGTCTACAACTGCAGGGAACCTCAATCTGTAAAAATAATTGATCTGTATGAATCATACATTTACTTAACTATAGACTGCCTCCAAAATATTTTTTATGAATATGGTGCAATTTAATTCTAAATTATGTAAAAGTAGCAATCTCACACTGAACAAATACTCTGTTATATATAAAGGTTCTGCATTAAAGTAAAAGAAAGTATCAAAAGCAAAAAGCCGTTACATAGAACATCCTCTTTCGGAGTATTATATTATTGCTTATCATGTTTTATTATTCATCACTAACGCATGCAGTGTTGTAGCTGGTCAATGTGTAGCTAAAGTTCTCTACTGATGGTTAGTTTAGTCCATAAAATGTTAAAGTTAAGTAAATATAACTAAGTATATTTCCTCAAGTGCTGAGTACACATTTTCTTTTTATGCCACTCTATACGTCTACTCCACATTAACATTAGTTATTTTAATATCTGTCTTTAAGATCTCAACCAGCTCCAACAGTAAATCTCTGCTTTTATATTAATGCATGATTATCAGTAATCTGATTACATATAACAGTATGTCTGCATTAATAACTTTTACTTTTAATAACTTGAAGTACATTTTATTGATTATACATATTTCTACTGTTACCACTGTGTGGTATTAGTACTTTTACTTAATGAAGGATCTGAATACTTCCTCCATCTCTGGTTTAAAGTAACATATAACTACTCAAGTAAAATCCCTCAAAATTGTACCTCACTACAGTACTTGAGTAAATGTTTTTTCCACCCCTTCCTGCCTCCCTTTTGTTTCAGGCAGATAGAGCAGCCAAGCCTGCGACTGTGTGTTTTTGAGAAATTCTGTAGTCTGCTGCATTCAGTAAAAAGTTAGCACTGCACCACGAGCTGGACAGTCTGCAGTGACAGTAGAATATAAGTACTTGGGCAGCAGCCACGGTTCATCCAACTGCTGCTCCGTCTGCCCTTGCAGCCACCAGGGACTCAGGTTCCCCAGGATCCTGTCGTACTGCCATACCTGCCTAACAAGGACTTCTATAGAGTTTTACCCTCGTCCTGTATGGCACTATTTCCTTTTGGAAACCTCAGCAGAAACACATCATTGTTAGCATGCATTTTGTCCTTAATGAACACTAGTCATAGCTTATTAATCTTGTATTCAGAGTAGAACACATGATTAGTAATTTTCTGAGTAGTGTGAATAACAGCTTGTAATTCCTCTTAAAGTGAGCGCATCTGCACTGAAACCTGATTTATTAAGTATGGAGCTGAAACCATTACACCCACACATGCACTGCATTGATATGTTGTCTGCATTAACACCTTCTTTTATTTACAAAAGGTAATTTAATACATTTAGGTTCATGTCAATATTTGGTCCTAAAAATAGCCTATTTGTGCTGCAGCAAGCTAAAAGAAAACAACACTACAGAAGCATTAAAATAGATGTCCGAGGGAACATCTTATATCTCTCTCAGCCATAAGCCTGCCCTGTGATGTCCACTGGGAATCAATTTGGAAATGATGGACGAGGTGATGGTGTCAGTGCCCGGGATGATTTTCTGGTTCATAACTCGAAGCACTACTATAAAAAGAAAGCTCATTTGGGTGTAAAAGCTCAAACAAGCTTTATATGAAGCCACACATAAAACAGCTCAGAGCCGTACATCTTGCTGACATCACAGATTTGAGTCATGGGTCATTGGTTTTGAGCTCTGGAAAGGAGTCCTCTCGCTTTTTTATCAACACACCATAAACACTGCCATAACAGGACTGACAGCATCCACAAACCCACTCAGTCACACATTGCTCCCCTCTCTGCAGAGCCTTGCCTCCTCTGCTGCTTCCATCTGCTACTGTACGGGTCCGTGATCACTGTCAGCAACAGAAACAGACTCCTTTATAATCATTGTGTCGCATGAAAAAAAAAGCACTCACCGAGGCCCTGAACACACCACATCACCCTACACTCACGTTTTCACCCTCTTTCCATCAGGTCTAAACAAAAACGCCTCCGCAGCGCTGCCAAGGACAAGACTTTTGTTTGGTGACTGTGCTGGATGTTTCTGTGTGCAGGCTGAGAGTGGACGTAGGTGGTAGGTGTGTTTATGTGTATCGACTACTGATGATTCTCTGTCTTCTGTTCTCTACTTTCTCTGTTCCCTTTCCATTTTAATATCCAGTCTCTTTTATTACTTTTATAAGCCCATCTGTGTTCTATTAAATATCTTGTGACCACATAATTAAGAATATACTTAACATACTTGCTGTGGTCTTTTAAACTGTGTGCTGTCGCCAGGATTAAGAAAAAAACAAAAAAAACATTCCAAGTAATTCTTCCAAATTGCCCCAACACAACCCGTCCCACCTCAGGCAACAAGGAACTTTCACATTTTGTGGAGTCTGGGGGCCCTTGTGGACAAAAGCGGTAGTGTTTCTACCACCTTGTTTCATTGATTTCAAGGAGAATCCCACTGAATCCACCCCAGTGGCAGGCATTAAGAATAACTATATAGAAATAGCCAATCGTAATAGTCATCAATATATAACCAGTTAAAAATGTCTTGTAGTACATTTAACTATTATATCTCTCTACATTAGGGTCTAAATGTTGCCTCTCACTGACAGGTGTGTCATTCTGGTGGATGCTTAATCCTTTTAATTAAAATTTTTGTTTATTTTTTAGTATTTAAGATATTTAATGACATGTGTAATATGTGACATAGTAAAACGTAGAAAACTCCTTCTGATAAAATGTTAAACACAAGTATATGTCACTTCACTCAGTGAATCAAAATATTTAATTAGGAATTTTAATGACATTTTTGTGTGCGTGTTGTGTATTGTGTATATGTATTTTGGTCTTTAAACTATAACAATTAGTTAAACATTATATTTTACCGACTTTAAGTGCATCAAGATGATATGTTGTGTTATCCTTTTACAAAATGATGTTGTTGGTATTAAAAATAGTTTGACGATAAAACACAGTTCATTTTTTTAAAGATAAAGAGCAACTTAGTACTCTAAGGCTCCTTATCGCAGCATCCCGGGCCTCTTTGCTGCATGTCTTGTCTTCTCTGACTCCCCATGCCATATTCTTTAAAGGTACTCCGACAATTCAGCATTTGTCTTCTATAACATTGTCAGACTCATGGTTGATGTTTAAAAAAGGATCCATATAAACCAGAACTAGACAAATAGTTTTTTTTATTCCATGCAAATCCAGTGGCCAGTGGCTGGCAAATGAAGTAAACACTTTAGTAACTGCAGTTCCTCAAATGGTCTCTTGGGGCTGGCTGTGAGTCAATCTCTATATGGCCCCATAGAAATAAACATGTTTACAGCCTCGTACAGAAAAAATGTTTTGTCTTCAAACCTAAATTCCCCGTTCATGACAACTGTGCGGGGGTTGAATTTTTATAGAACTCATTCCTATAAATTATATCAAGGCGTATTGTTATGCATAATTAAGTGCATGGATGCTTTGATTGACAGGTGGGTGCCGTCAGCAACCAGGCTTCATTCGGCCCACCTAAGCTCCAACCGCGCTTCACGTCTTTTTCTATTTTTGGATTAGCAGGGAGCCAGCGGAGTCAGGATTGCCAAGACACTGAGTTTCACAACAGCTCTTTAAAAACCTGTGGGTGACGGCTCTGACACCATTTTTAATTATACAGTCTATGGTCAAAACCTGGTGCCTACATTACCCACAGTGAAACTGTAACTGTAGCAGACCTCTAGGACTGCCTTCTTTCATTCACGTAATATTACAAAAATTAGACACATACTATCACAGACAGATGCAGAAAAACTAATCCATGCATTTGTTACTTCAAGGCTGGATTACTGCAACTCCTTATTATCAGGTTGCCCCAATAAGTCCATTAAAACGCTCCAATTAATTCAGAACGCTGCAGCACGAGTACTGACAGGAACTAGAAAAAGAGATCACATCTCTCCTGTACCAGCTTCTCTGCATTGGCTCCCTGTAAAATGTAGAATAGAATTTAAAATCCTCCTCCTCACCTATAAAGCTCTTCACGGTCAGGCCCTTTCACATCTTAAAGAGCTCATAGAACCCTATTACCCCACTAGAACATTACGTTCTCTGAATGCTGGGCTACTTGTGGTTCCTATAGTCTCTAAAAGTAGAACAGGAGCCAGAGCCTTCAGTTACCAAGCTCCTCTCCTGTGGAACCAGCTTCCAGTTGTGGTTCGGGAGGCAGACACCCTCACCACATTCAAGAGTAGGCTTAAGACATTCCTCTTTGATAAAGCTTATAGTTAGGGCTGGATCAGGTGAGTCCTGAACCATCCCTTAGTTATGCTGCTATAGGCCTAGACTACCGGGGGATTTCCCATGGTGCACTGAGCTCCTCCCTTCCTCTCTCTTTCTGCACTCATTCATGTCCCATTAATGCATGTTACTAACTTCACTTCTTCCCCGGAGTTTTTGTGCTTTCTCGTCTCGCAGGTTCTTATCGATCCTGGTGGAGCCTCCTGCCATGGTCCTGCTAGATTGCCATTACCAATACTGTTGTTGCTGTGCACCTGTCTGTCTGTCTGTCTGTCTGTCTGTCTCTCGCTCTCTCTCTCTCTCTCTCTCTCTCTCTCTCTCTCTCTCTCTCACCCCAACTGGTTGAGACAGACGACCACCCACCTAGAGCCGAAGGATCTGTCCTAGGTTTCTGCCTTTTAACAGGCAGTTTTTCCTTGCCCTTGTCGCCAAGTGCTTGCTCCTGGTGGTACTGTTGGGTCTCTGTAATTAATGTTTTAAAGAGTTCGGTCTAGACCTACTCTATTTGAAAAGTGTCCTGAGATAACTTCTGTTATGAATTGGCGCCATACAAATAAAATTGAATTTAATTGAATTGAATTAATGTAGGCTCAAGCGGCTGGCCTCAAGTAGAGATGAGGAGCGGGATACAGTGGTCTGGTAACCCACTTCTTTGTAACTCCATATCCCCAGACTGTTTGTCATTTTCATCCTTGTAGTCTAAAGACCCAACCAACATCGACTCAAGTCAGATCACTTGAGGCATGTTATCAGATTTCACGCAGCTCCCTCTGAAGCCACAAAAGGATTTATACGCGTATTTATAATTTTTCATATATGTAATAGTACTCCCCAACACCTGTAAACAAACTTTTATGTGGAAAATTCTCTCTCTCTCTCTCTCTCTCTCTCTCTCTCTCTCTCTCTCTCTCTCTCTCTCTCTCTCTCTCTTTAACACCAGACTACCCTTTTTGATGAAGGTTTCACACCCAACAGTGATGTCACGGTGTCCTGGAGTACATTTGTGCATCACTGCAGCAAGGTGAGAAGTTAAACCACTGAAGGTTAGCAAAGAAAAGATTTTGGTAAGGTGATAAGTTGCTTTTTAAATTTAATTATTATATATTTCCACACATTAACCATATCATGATATGTATCAATATAAATATTCATTATGATGGTTTTTGACCATATTGCCAGCCCTATGTGAAAGTGAATAGTTTAACTTAGAGATTGTTTCATGCAGTGTTGTGCAATTTGTTCCCAGGAATCTGTACCTAAACTAAATGAAACCTTCCTGTTGTCCACTGATGCAAAACTTGACTTTCCATCATACTGACAAGGTTAAAATGTTATCATTGCACCATTAACTCTTACACTTCAGTGTCAAAAGTCTCCAACTTTTCTGACTTCATCAGCCAGTTTTGAATGACATTCTTGTAAAAATGACACAAAGGAAAATAGTTTTCATGATCACTTTTGAATACAGGTTTTATAATTTTTAAAAGTCACGTAATGATAAACAAATGGGAGAACTGTAAATAAATATATGTTTCAAAAAGATGCAGGAGTACTTTGTCAACAGATGCAGTTGTGTTGCAGCTTTGGCATCTGTTCAAAGTGCATCTAAACTTGTGTGCAATAAAGCACCTTTGCCTCTTATTATTACTGACCTCACAACTCCCCCTGGTGCTGACTGAGGTAGATGCTCAATGAAGTGCAAGAGGTGAGTTTGCATGATGTGTGTGGTGGGTGGAAGGTTGCCTACATGTTGTGCAGACTAGAAAAGAGCTCCTCTAATGTCTTAGGTAAGTATCTGAAATATAAAGAGAGATAACTGTGAAGACAAGCTCTTTAAAGAATCAGTGAGTGATATTTGCACTGTCAGCAGTACAGATTATTTCACTAGCATAAGCCTCTGCATTGGATTTTACATTGGAATATTGCATCAGTTGTCTGATTGGAATAACTGTTGGCTGTTCTTGTCCTAATTAGAGTTTCTGAGTCAAATAGATAGTTGGAATCAAATGGACTGAACCTGAATGGGTTTATAGCTACTGATTGCTGTGTATCCCGGCACCAGGCCTCTGTGGTACCTGCAGAAAAACCAATTATCTGCACAATCAAATTAAACCTGGGAGGTTTCAAAGGTGTAATGAATAAACCTTTTACTGTCCCATAGCGCAAAATGATCCAAATAAATCTGTGGTGGCAATAAGGTGATCAATAATAGTGACTCCACAGTTAATTCCCTAGGTATTGAAATGTCTGGTTTTTAAAGTTTTAAAGGCTGTGTGCACTTTTGACTTAGTTTCCATTGCTCACACAAAGTAATGCATTCTTAATTGCTTTTTCAATAGTAATGCATTGTTTGACTAATTAATACCTGAGCACAGTGATTTGTTAAGATGGCTTGTTGTGTTACAGTCTTCTAATTGATGACTGCTTCCTCTCAAAAACTCAGGTTAGTTTGGGTCTCTCTCATGTAAAGGAACTTAGAGAGTAAAGTGTTTTGCTGTTTTTAACACAAGCTATTTCAGGGTGAGAGGATGACCTCTAATTTATACAGAATATGAAGTGTTGGTTATATGATTTAAACAGGAAACGGTGTGAACTGGTTATGTATATACTTACACCATGCTAATAAGATTTCAGTCATTTTGGGTGACACAGAAACATTGTGGTTTCTGCTGTTGGGATTTTTTTTTACCATAAACCTGATGATGGCGGGGCCCCGGAGCAGCTTGCCGCTGAAGCGTCTCGACATTTAAATGATTGTTGTTATGCTCAAGTATGGATTTATTAATGTTTTTTGACACTACTACTTGATGAAGACAAAATGTTAAAAAAGAAAATAGTTAAATAACGATTCCTGAGAATTAGTACATGTAGTACATGAATGATTTCTAAAAGGTAAAACAGGACAAAAACAACCAGTGCTCTGGTGGGTGGGGAGGTTGGCTTCAACTGCAACCTGCAAAGTGCACCCACGTTTCAAGTATTAACGTTACTTTAGGAATTAATGGAGAGTAATGCATTACTTTTTTGGGGTAAGGGCACCGGTTGCCACCCAGCAGTGTGGATGAAGGGCAGAGGAGGCTCGGGTGTGAGACTGCAGCACGGTGCGCAGTGACCGGCTGCCTCCACTGGGGGAGGACCGAGCACCGCCTGCATGCGCTGCAGTACATGAACGACTTTCTCACCGAGACTCTCCATCATTACACACACACACACACACACACACACACACACACACACACACACACACACACACACACACAATGGGAAGGATACCGGAGTATAGGTAGGGCTACAGCGGCAGACAGACAGATGTGTGATGCTCAGACTCTACCGTGGGGCCATTTCCCCTCTCCTCTCCTGCGTGAAGGTAAACTTTTACCCACCCTCGCGTCTTTTCGCCGTGATCGTGTGCAGCTGTCATTGATGCCAACTCGCTGCTTGCACACCTGCTTCTTTTTTTTTCTTTTTTCTTCAATGATTATTGCTGCCAGTGTATGAGGGGCGATGCAGCAGAAACGGGGGCTGAAGTGGCAATAGATCCTGTTGAATTGAGACAAGACGTCGAGACGCAGCCAAAAAGTGTCCTCCTCAGAGTGCGTCAGAGCACGGATGTATTTAGTGGATGATATGGTCGCTGGTTGGATACGACGAGGGATCTGTGATTTTACCCCCCAAAATCAAGAGGGAATTTGGGCAAAAGAGAAGAACTGCATCCTCACGTAGCCTCCCTCCTCCTCTTCCTTCTCCTCCTCCTCCTCCTCCTCCAGCAGATTTGTTTGTAAGGGGGCTTAGGCGATTTCGTTTGCCCCCTTTTCACATGTAAGTATGGATGTCAGAATGAAGGGTTAGGGATATTTTAATGGGGGAGATTTCGTGCGTAATGTCTGTCTCTAAACATAAATGTCTTCCATGCATTCATTTACGAAAGCCAACCATCATGTTCACCCAGCAATAATAATAACAGTAATTATCATAATAACGGCATGCCAATCAAGTTTTACCATCCCTAAATTGCAAAAGATGCGTATTATTCTGGACTATGCAGTCGCCAAAACAACGGACATCAATATGAATAGATCATTTTTTCGCCTAAACCAACTGCTGTTTTCTCTTCTCTTGTCTTTTTCTCGCAGCTCCAGAGAGCGTCAGAGGAATAAAGTCATTCAGATTCAGCGGAGCCCGATAATATAACAGAAAAGATCCAGTTTTTTTATCTCATCACATAAAATGGCAACCAGGAGTGACCACGGAGGATCAAAAGACGTATTTGGGCGCAAGCCGCGGCCGTGGAGAGATTAACCACCTGATGGGCACCGGAGAAACCGAGGAGAGACTGTTTTGGTGTCGCTTGTTGACTTGGTGATTTATAATGCTGAACAAATAAAGGGCGCTGCAAGTTTTGACACAGAGCGTCTGCGTAACAGGCTGTGCCACCGGCCCTTACGTATTTTGGTTATGGTAATGATGTCATAAAATATTGGAGGCCTGTGCCTAAACGGGAAGACAGGCTGATCAATATCTCCTATCATGTAAGTAGCCACATGGACTGCACTCAACATGGACCTAATTGAGGTGTGTTTGTTATTCTGACATTCTCACATTCACAACTGATTGGTCGAACCGGTTGATGCCTCATTTTCTCTCTCTGCGCGCTTTAAGCTGCAACTTTTATCCTCTGGCCTGCATCCACATCGCCCTGAGGCGGTTACTGTAGCGCCCACGGACCGAACCGCTCATTGACTTAAAATGGAGTTTGCCATGGTGGGTGCGGACGGCGGGTGCAATAGTCACCTGCCTTACGGATATGCCCAAGCTCGCGCACGGGAGAGGGAGCGCGAGAGGGAGCGCCAGGCTGCCCAGTCGAGAGCGGCGGCTGCAGCGGCCGCTACCGACGGTGGGTCCGGTACGGAGGGAGGAGGCGGCGGCGGCGGCGGCGGCGGCAGCGGCAGCGGCGGCGGCAGCGGAGGCGTGGGGGGGTCCACCTCCACCTCCACCTCCTCCTCGAGCGCTCATCTCCTTAACAACTGCCAGCATCAGTCTCGCGCCGCCTCCTCCACGAACGCCAACATCAGCAGCGGCGGTACCGCCTCGCGCCCCTCCTCCTCCTCCTCCTCCACCTCCTCCTCGCAGCCGCCACAGCACCAGCAGGAGCCCGAGCAGCAGCAGCAGAAGCAGCAGAGAGTTCTCAGAGAGCGGAAAAAGCAGCGCGGCGTCGGACGGTGGAGACGCAGCCGGACGACTCTCGGCGACGACCTGCGCCACTCGGAGCTGGCGCTGCTCGGATCCGAGGAGGACATCATGATAGAGGAGGAAGAGGCCGAGGGAGCCGAGGAAGGGGAGGAGGAGGAGGGGGGCCGGGGAAGCAAGAGGTCGAGTTTTCTGTGTAACATGGATGATGAGGAGACCGTCTCGCTCACTGACAGGCGCCCTCAGTCCGGATACGAAAATGTTTACAGCGAGTGCGGCTGCTGCGAGAGAGTGGTCATCAACGTGTCGGGACTCAAGTTTGAAACTCAGCTCAAGACTCTCACTCAGTTCCCGGACACTCTCCTGGGAGACCCCGACAAGCGAATCAGGTACTTCGACCCGCTGAGGAACGAATACTTCTTCGACCGGAACCGACCGAGCTTTGACGCCATTCTTTACTATTACCAGTCAGGGGGGCGGTTGAAAAGACCAGTCAACGTCCCGTTTGACATCTTCTCCGAGGAGGTGAAGTTTTATGAACTCGGGGAAGAGGCGATACTTAAGTTTCGGGAGGATGAGGGTTTTGTCAAAGAGGAGGAAAAACCTCTACCGGAGGACGAGTTCAAGCGCCAAATCTGGCTGCTTTTCGAGTATCCGGAGAGCTCGAGCCCTGCCAGGGGGATAGCAGTCGTGTCCGTCCTGGTTATAGTGATTTCTATTGTCATTTTCTGCCTGGAGACGCTGCCGGAGTTCAGGGATGAAAAAGAGTATCTACAGCCACGACACAACTCCACTCAGCCCGACCACGGATTTACTCCTTTCAACGACCCGTTTTTCATCGTGGAGACTGTTTGCATCATCTGGTTCTCCTTTGAGATTATAGTCCGCTTCTTTGCGAGTCCGAGCAAACCGGCTTTCTTTAAAAACATTATGAACTCAATAGACATTGTATCCATTTTGCCTTATTTCATAACTCTCGGCACGGACCTGGCGCAGCACCAAGGCAACGGGCAGCAAGCGATGAGCTTTGCCATCCTGAGAATAATCCGCCTGGTCAGGGTGTTTCGCATCTTCAAACTGTCCAGGCACTCCAAGGGGCTGCAGATCCTGGGTCATACCCTGCGCGCCAGCATGAGGGAGCTGGCCCTCCTCATTTTCTTTCTGGTCATAGGGGTCATCCTGTTCTCCAGCGCGGTGTACTTCGCCGAGGCGGACGAGCCCACCTCTCAGTTCACTAGCATCCCCGACGCTTTCTGGTGGGCCGTGGTGACCATGACGACGGTGGGCTACGGTGACATGAAGCCCATCACTGTCGGTGGGAAGATAGTGGGCTCCCTGTGCGCGATCGCGGGCGTGTTAACCATCGCGCTCCCGGTGCCGGTCATAGTGTCCAACTTCAACTACTTTTACCACAGGGAGACCGATAACGAAGACCAGACGCCGGTGGTGGAGAGCATGCCCCCGGGCTGCCCGTATTTCCCGGACTTTTTAAGGAAATTCAAAGGCTCGCCCTCTGGTTCCTCGCTGGGTGACAAAGCGGAGTATATGGAGATGGAGGAAGGGGTAACGGAGTCGCTTTGCGGGCTGGACAAGAGCCCCAGTAAAGGAAACGGCACAGACATAGGCAGGAAAAACAGTACTAACTCAAAATCCATTCAGACTGACGTGTGATTACAAGTAGAGTTTCATTTTTTTCGTTTTTCTCTAAGGAAGAATACGCCCTATAAAGATACTGTATGCCCAAGAGGAGCAGGTGGTCCCCCTAACACAAGTTTTACGCACGCCTCAGAGCCCCCCTCCACATACACACACACACACACACACACACACACACACACACACACACACACACACACACACACACACACAAAGACACACAGGTCACCATTGGCAGGTTCATTCTCTCCATCTCAGAACAATATAGCTTCTCCCAAATCCTCTCCACACCGATGGACCTTTAGGAACAATAATGACCAGTATTTGTTTAATGGGTTGATTAATCAATTAATCTAACCTGTGCAGGCTTCCAAATCTGACATAAAATCGGAATTCGAGACAAGACAGGCTATGCATTCGCACTTTATGAGTTTCATCCGTCAATAACAGAAAGGGTAGGGATGGTCGTTTTGCTGTTATGCAATAAAGTTCAAATTTGTTTGCACTAATGTAGAATTTGCGCTCAGTTTGGCCGGTTTTTCTTTCAGAGACAGAAACTGTAGGCCATGCAAATGGCAATAATTTAGTCATCCTCTGACCACTTAGCTGAAGAATGTTTGAGCAACTTCCTAAAAGAGAGCAAACTAAGGATAATAATAACTTCTTTCATACGCTGCCAATAAAAATTGGACTCCATTAAAGGAAACACCGAAGACAGATACACAACTTTTGTTACTGTTCCAACACTTAATATTAACAACAACAAAAAAAGCTCATTGATAAGACATAGCATTTAGCAGTCATCAAATGAACCAGGGCTAGAGTTATTTCTATGACATCTACACAAATTTCCACAACAGGCAAAAAAAAAAAAAGAAAGAAAGAAAAAAAAAGCCTTGTTGTTGAGCCACCATGAGCGCTAAGCACAGGAATCAGTTAAAAAATGGCTGGAGAGATGGCTTGCCCCGCCAGGTTTTATATGGACAGGCTTGGGGCGTTGGCGACAGTAGTTTCCCCAGTTTCATTTAAACCACCTCAAAATGACAATATCCCTTTACACGGACGCAGATGGAAAGCTATAGCAAAAATGACTTTGTTGCGGAAACTCCTTGAAGGGGAGTTTGCGAGCAACTTCCTCTCCTGTCCGCTGGACTTCGTGCACAAATTGTTTTTTGTTTTTTTTCTCAAGAGGACTATGATTATCTCCAAGCTCAGAGGATCTCCGGGATGTGGATGTCTTCCAAGGTATGTAACCTACAGTTCACGTGTGACAGTGATTATCATCCAGTGATGGGAGGGAGCCAATAATAATGCTCCTGAAAATATAGAGAAATATCCGAAAGATGATAAACACCGCAAATGCAACACTTAACACGTACCAGATATACAGCATATTTAATAACATGTCACCCTGACATTTGTTTTCAACACTTGGTTGCCCCCTAGTCCAAAGAATGACGCATGACTACGCGTGCGTAATAGTGCGTAAAATACTGGAGATGGAAGCTGGGAGAATTTGGCGCACATTCCAGCCATTGTGCGGTCAGTTAATGTTTCTTCTGTACTACGTTTATGCTACACTCAGGTCTAATATCGAAAACATACAACCACCCTCTCATTCTAACTAGCTGTAAAATAAGGTGACATCAGGTCAGCCTGCTGAGAATTTATACCAAAGGTTTCCACATGTGGCTTATTATTGTCTGAAAAGTTTACGGTTGCAGTACTTAAGCTTGAGAACAGTATTTTTTTATACATATATATCTATAAGTTATGTTAAAGTGCTACAGAATTTACTGCCTGCTTTGTTGTCTTGACAGTGTTCACGTAAAGAGATAATTCCTTTTAAGTTTTTTGATTTTAGTCTTTCTTGGGTTGTCTCTGCTGTCCAGTCGTCTTATTGATCTCACCTTCCCAAGCAGCCAGAATATATTGTTTCACTATTATACACCTAAACCATGGCCTTCATAATTACAAATGTGAAAATTAATTAGTTTGGCTACTCTATACATGTTGTTCTCCAGATATCCAAGCAAAACAACCCGCCCCCATTTGAAAATGTGTTGTGCCTACTTCAGTTGGATGTTTAAGCTTCAGTTTGCAGAATGATGTGTTTGCAAAGTTTGACACTCCACATGTATCTGCTGAGGGGACTGAAGTCTCTCTGTGCTCACCTTAAATCTCAGTTTAAGACGTGTATGTACCAGCAGGATTTTGTGACATCACAACTAATTTGAAAGCCAATGGGGGTCCAATGTGTAACTTACACAAGTGTGATGTGGGAACTCGAAGCCTCCAGTGCACAAACACTGAGAGTAGACCAAAGGAAAGTAGGAGACATCTTCTGCCAAGCAGTTAAACCCTTTAAAAACATATACATATTCATAGATTCTGGATCTCCCAACAAGGGTTAAGTAAATGTAATTTAATTTAAAGAAATTTTAAATAGGTAAAAAAACAGACACAAACACACAAATTACTATTAATAGGAGTCTTAAAACATTTATGGAGGGGGTTTAAGATGGGATCACAAAATATACATTATATATTATTATAATAAATAAACTAATACAACAAAAAATATATAATTTTGAAGTATGTCAGCATTCGTTTATGATCCACACAAACTCTTAACTGGGTTCTTGAGAATTCCTGACCTTACAAACTGTGTCATATATTTGGAAAAAGTTAAGAAAAACATTGTAATTGTTTATTATTATTTGTATTTTTTTATTATAATTGGAAAAGCCAAAATGTAACTTAACAGTACTTCCAGTGTTTAGAGTATTGATAATCAAAATATACCATATACTGTACTTACAAATATGCCAACTTCTGTCACAATCAGAGGACACTTGCATTCATACAGTAGATCCATGCACGTTGTCACTCACTCCATCAGCACTTCTCAGCACATAATCACTGTATCAGCGTATAATAATTTATTACACTGTGTTTTCATATCCTCAGAGGAACTATTCATACAAGATATTTTCAACACCTGCACCCACAACCACACGCACACACACACACACACACACACACACACACACACACACACACACACACACACAGAGCACCATCCTGGCACAGAGCCAACTCCTCTTGATACCTCACACTTCGCACTTACATAATGTGGCTTATGGCAAGAGGCGCAATCCAAAACATTTTTCAAGCAAAATGTGTGGGTCAGGCATATTCTTAGGCCTGTAGCTGCTGAGCGGACTGCGAAAACAGCCTGTATCATCCTGAGCCACAGAACGGAGCTGAATGGTTTTGACTGCTCATAGCGTCCCACTGTCACGTGCACGGTGACTCTTTGTAGTGCAGATTTAGACCATATGGTTGGGCCATGTGACAAAGTGAAAGTTATTTATGGTTATTTCTCAAAAAGTATTCCATGCCTGTCAAAGGACATAGAGGAGAGGTGGAAAGAGAGTGTGCGGTACATAAAGTCAGACTAGGTTATGTAATAATAGGAAGAACAGAGTGTAAGTGAGTCGAGTTGATCAACAGAAAGTTAATCGCAAGTTTTGCAAATCAGTTATTCAGTCATTTGTCTGGTAAAGACAGCAAACATTTGCTGGTTCCAGCCAAGGTTATTAAATAAAAATGTACAGGGAATGTTTTTAGTTTCAGTCAATTTAGTAAAATTTGTCAGCACAGGAAGCATGAGGAGGCATTGGTGCATTATGTTTATTGAGACTGGGATGCTTACATGACTCAGTCAGTGTGTTTGTATTGTAATACCTGAACTTCTTAAATCTTTCCTGGAACTGAACTAAAACTAAACATTTTCAAGCAATAAAAACTAAACTGAAACAAGCAAACCCACTCTGAACCTGAAACTTAACTGTATATAAAACGAAAATTTAAAACAAAATAAAAGTGAATGAAAAACACAAAACTATAAAAACTGGCTGCAGCATCTCCGGTGTGGCGATTTGCAGCTTGACTCTATTTTATTCAGTGTAACATGATTAAGATGACTTTGACAGAAGAGTTTGAAAATATGACTTTAGGCTATGAGAGCTGATGTGCTTCTGTCAATATCCATGTCTCATATGGACTAAATGATTAATTAGATCTGAACTGACAGATTTACAGATAATGGAAGTAATAATAAGTCACAGCTCTAAGAGGTATTGACACAGCCGCAGTATTGTACCTCTTGTGGATGGACTGCTCATTGATAAATGGAGCGAAGCCTGCAAGCTAGTTCAGGCAGTCAACTCGAGCTGCGCTGCTATACACACATGACATGCCTCACTCCATAATCACTAACCAGGCGCACCCTTCCCATCTGGCGGTCTATTTAAACTGCACAATTTCCCATCTCTCCCTCTGCTCTGTCAATGCTGCTGTTGCCCTGCATCTGTATTGCTGCCCGATGCACTGTAAGCTATTGCTGCCTGCTGCACTGTAAGCCCCCCAAGCCTTTTGTATTTTGAAATCCACAGGTGGGAATCCTTTAGGGTAGCTCATGATACCTGATGTTATCTGTAAATTAAGAGGAAAAAAATCCATCAAATGCCAAAATATAGACAAATCAATCAATTAATCCATACTCTTTCACTGACATTGTGTTCAGTTTTGTCATGCAACCTTTCACACAGCTATAATGGTCTTAAGCTGACAAAAGGCTCAACTACTAAAAAGCAGAACAGTTCCAGATTATAATGTCTAACATCTCAGAGTTAATCAGTTCTTTTCAAACTGGGCTGAGTAAATGTAACAGAGCAGTATTCAGGTTTTTCATTGTTGTAATCACTCCGGCATCTACGTTTACAAATGTTTCATTGAATTTGGCTCCTCACAGCCCACATTTTATGTGACAGACGACTCGTCTGGATGGAACAACCTGCTCTGCATAACAGAAGCCAAATTGTGCTGACAACCATAGGTCAAAGTCACAGCTGACCCTGCTGACAAATGGCTCATTTAGCTGCTCAGAAAATGACTCCTACCTGCAGCCAAGACATCCATCTATCTTCTACATCCGCTAATACCTGTTCAGGGTCACAGGGGGCTGGAGCCCATCCCAGCATACACTGAATGAGAGGCAGGGAACACTGGCCAAGTTGCCAGAAATTCAATGAGAGAGAATAAAGACAGATACACACATTTTCACACCGTATGCCGAAATTCCACGAGGCACAACTTTATGACGTTGCATCTGTGATGTGGTTTGGCTCCGCACATCTTCAAATCCCACCAAGAGCGTTTCAGAAGCTTCTTGCCTGCCTAACTTTAATGACTATTTTTTTTCCTTAAAAAAAAGATACAAAGTGGTGTGTTTCTTCCTCTTCTGAGATGCACTTCTTGTCATCCATAGTGTTAAATCTTCTTTGGCTGATTGACTTCGGGCTTGGTGCCACAATACTGATGTTGCATGAAATTCAATCCAGAGTCTGCACGGGGTATTTTATTTTGAAAATTGTCCTTGTGCTCTATGCTGTTTCTGTGTCTGAGTTACTGCCAATGAGATCTGGTCTGTGCTGCTTGACGTGGGTGGGTCGTGGGGTCTGACAATCATGCGATCATGATCCCTATACATGATACTAATGCAGTCTAATGCAACAGCCCTGCAGTAAACCTGACCTTTATGAAGGTTATAATGTTCAGATTACAGGTTTTTTTGAAGGCTGGAGTTTGTGGTCCTGCTGAAATGAGTTGTGCAAATATTTAGTTGACCCCATTTATATTAATAAAGGTTTATCACAGTAAATATTAGACACACCTATCAGTATAACACAATATAAGTCAACACCATCACAGAATTATAACCTCTCAAATGGCCATAAACTTGAATTAACGCCTCTCTAAAACAGCTTCCACAAAATGTGCAACAATCAAAACGCTCTATCCTTACTCCTCTATCAAGGATTTTCTTGCATGGCTGTTGTTTTAGATGTTGTTGCATTAGTTGTAGTGACGTGTACTTAATAAACTGGCAACTAGCCATGAGATAAATATACGGAGTGACGTTGAACTGCCATGTTTCAACAGCAGCCCGAATAGAAAAAACAATGGCTTTGGATGGGGCCTTTTATGAGTTTCACGGCCACTGTAGTTTCTTCCACACACTAGGAACATGTGAGGGAAGGGTGTTGCAAACAGCAACTACAATGCTAGATTGATAGATAACGCTAAATCCTACACACCAGACCTTTAACAGAATTATCAAGGTGCAAGAGAGAGGAAGATGTCAATCAAACACTGTTTACATGCCAAGGACAGGTCTA